CCCCAAAAACCCATCCTGAACCTTTCCAGAATTCAGAAGGAGACCCCCCACCACGCAACAGGTCCGCTCTGTTTTCCGGAGGAAGGGAAACCGTTTGCCATCTGTGCTCCCTCAGTTCCAGAGCGTTAGTCTCCTGCTTCGTTAATTAACCCCAATTAAACATTGGCCGGTTTCTATGACAACCCCATGTGACAACCGGTCCTTGGCCCAGCTGCTTCCTACAGCTAGTAAATTTCCTTTCTGACAGCAGCCAAAAGTGACGGCGGAAGAAGCCATGGCTTGGTTGCAGAAGTCAAAAAGGATTGGGGCTGGCAGGGCAGCCCATAACATTCCCAAATCGGCTCAAATCAGGCTCAATTCGGGGCTGGAATCCCCTCCCCCACTACAGGGGTCTCCAACCTTGACAACTTTAAGACTTGTGGACTTCAATTACCAGAATTCCCCAGCCCGCGTGGGGAAAAAGGGCTGGCTGAGGAATTCTGGGAGTTGAAGTCCCCAAATCTTAACATCGCCAAGGTTGGAGACCCCTACCCCAGCACAAGTAGTCTTCCACATACGGCCACAACGGAGCCCAACACTTCTGTCGCTAAGCGAGACAGTCGCTAAGTGACTTTTGCCTCATTTCACCACCTTTCCTGCCACCGTTGTTAAGTGAATCACTGCAGTTGTTAAGTTAGTCACACGGTTGTTAATCTGGCTTCCCCCATTGAGTTTACTTGTCAGCTGGTCGCAAAAGGGAATCACGTGACACACACACACACACACACACATACACACACACACACACACACCGGGACGTTGCAACCATCCTATGCTACTTGCCAAGTGTCCGAATTTTGATCATGTGACCACGGAGAAGCTGCAAAGGTTGTAAGAGTGAAAAACGGTCCTAAGTCACTTTTGTCCAGTGCTGTTGTGACTTTGAATGTCATTAAACAAATGGTCATTAAGTCGAAGACAACCTGCAAATAAAAGGATTGGGTCAGCAAGAGGCATTCATGTTGAGGGAAAAAATTAGATTAAACCCTTGGCATTCATAAGTACAGTTGAAAAACTATTATTGCCATGGTGGCGAAGTGGTTAGAATGCAGTAATTGCAGGATAATTCTGCCCACTGCCAGCAGTTCGATCCTGACTGGCTCAAGGTGGACTCAGCCTTCTGTCCTTCCAAGGTCGGTAAAATGAGGACCCAGATTGTTGGGGACAAATAGGCTGTCTCTGTAAAACTGCTTAGAGAGGGCTGTAAAGCACTGTGAAGCGGCATATAAGTCTAAATGCTATTGCATTCTGTTCTATTCTATTCTATTCTATTCTATATTTCTATTCTATTCTATTCTATATTTCTATTCTATTCCATATTTCTATTCTATTCTATATTTCTATTCTGCTCTATATTTCTATTCTATATTTCTATTCTGTTCTATATTTCTATTCTATATTTCTATTCTATTCTATATTTCTATTCTATTCCATTCCATTCCATATTCTGTTCTGTTCTATATTCTGTTCTATATTATTCTACTCTATTCTATTCTACTCTATACTCATTCCATATTCTACTATTCTATTCTATTCTATAATTCCATTCCGTTCCATTCTATTCTATTCTATTCTATTCTATTCTATTCTAGAGTTTGATCATGGCTCAAGGTTGACTCAGCCTTCCATCCTTCCAAGATCAGTAAAATGGGGACCCAGATTGTTGGGGGCAAATACGCTGACATTGTAAACCATTTAGAGAGGGCTGTAAAGCACTGTGAAGCGATATATAAGTCTAAATCAGTGGTTCTCAACCTGTGGGTCGGGACCCCATTTGGGGTCGAACGACCATTTCATGGGGGTCACCAAACAAGGCTGTCTGCCATTTTTCCCCCCTTTTCTTTGGCCTCACCCCTGGCACCCGGTGACGTATAAGTGGTTGGGGGTCATCACAACATGGGGAACTGTATTATGGGGTCGCGGCATTAGAAAGGTTGAGAACCACTGGTCTAAATGCTATTGCTGTTGCAATGGCAGCTTGAAACTAAGGTTTATGCCCAGTGAAAACTCACTGTGTTACTTATCGTCAACCCAACCTGGTTTAGCATCGTGTGCAAATCCAATTTTGTCTCCACAGTCTTTCCCATTGAAAGCTATCCAACAATTAGCTCAACTGTCACGAAGGAAACTTCCCTTGCAGGCTTGTTGTTGTCGTCCTTCAAGCCAGTATTAATATGGGAAATCCTTTAAAAAGATTTAATGCAATTTATTTTCAGCCCGCGTGACTTTAAATGGAGCGGTAAATGGTCCCACACTGGAAGTTTTAAGAAGAGACTGGACAGCCATTTGTCCGAAATGGTATACGGTTTCCTGCCTGAGCAGGGGGTTGGACTAGATGGCCTCCAGGGTCCCTTCCAACTTTGTTGTTGTTGTTGTTATTTAACCGTGTGGACTTCAACTCCCAGAATTCCCCCAGCCAGCCTGGGGTTGAGAAACATTCATTTAATGTATAAAGAATCGGGTGTGTATATCTTTTCAATGTTTAAGTGTGCAATACCAAATCTAAGCCCTCCCTCTGTCCAGGCCAAAAAAATAATGATAGCATTTTGCTTTCAAAGTCTTCCAACGTTATGCCAAGAATGGCAGAATAACATGCCATTTACGCCACCTGGCCAATGGAATGCACTTCACGCTCCTTGCAGAACCCGACAAGAACACGCCAAGCCAAAGAAAATGCGACAAACGCCTTATATTTGCGTTTTTTTAAACAATACCCACAAATACAACAATTTATGTAGTGACCGTTTGAAGTCACAACGGCACTGGGGGAAAAAAGCGACATGACCATTTTTCACCCCTTGAAGCATCCTTGTGGCCACGTGATCATAACTGAGATGCTTGTCAATTGATTCATATTTATGACGGTCCGCAGTGTCCTGGGGTCACATGATCGCCTTTTGTGCGATCACTTAACGACCCTTTTCCTAACTTAACAACTGCAGTGATTCACTTAACAACAGGGGCAAGGAAGGTCGTAATAGGGGGGGCCAAACTCACTTAACAAATGTCTCACTTAGCGACAGAAGTTTTGGGTGGAATTGTGGTCGTAATTCGAGGACGGCCAGTAGATTTCTTCCAAACGCAACAGGCCAAGAAGCCCTGAATGGTTTTTCCGAATCGGGATGATTCCTCTCATCCCGTTGAGGAAGAAGAATTCAAAAAAGGGGTGTGTTTTTTCCCCACACCTGTGAGTTTCATTGTGCAGTTGCAAAATGCTGGGAGGTAGCCAGATGTGGAACAAATCCAACAGTCAAGTTCTCCTCTTCCGACCGACATTAACCTGGTGTTCCGCAAAGCGGAGCATCACCCAGGATGAAAATTCCCTCCAGTTTGGGGCCTGTTAGCTTGTATTTTTTAAAATTAAATTCAATCGTTTTTAAAAGATATGCAAAATGGCGATCCCTCACGAAGCGCAGCTACCATTTTGAAGTGGCCTCTCCTCTCGTTCCCCAAATACAGCACTATAGTATTATTTTTTGTTGTTGTTTAGGATACGAGAAATATCAAAATGTTGGGATGATTTTATAGGAGGGAAATGTTTTAGATCAGGAGTCTTCAAACTTGGCCCTTTGATGACTCGTGGACTTCAACTCCCAGAATTCCTCAGCCAGGGTTGGACTAGGACAGGGGTAGGCAACCTTGGCTCTTTTATGACTCGTGGACTTCAACTCCCAGAATTCCTGAGCCAGCCATCCTGAGGGGAAAGGGAGAGGTTTCCAAGCTGAGCCATGCTGGCTCAGGAATTCTGGGAGTTGAAGTCCACGAGTTGTGAAGGGGCCAAAGTTTCCCTCATGCTGGCTCAGGAATTCTGGGAGTTGAAGTCCACGAGTCATGAAGGGGCCACAGTTCCCCCATGCTGGCTCAGGAATTCTGGGAGTTGAAGTCTGTGAATCATGAGGGAGCCATATTTTCCCCATGCTGGCTCAGGAATTCTGGGAGTTGAAGTCCACGAGTCATGAAGAGGCCATATTCCCTCATGCTGGCTCAGGAATTCTGGGAGTTGGTCCATGAGTCATGAAGGGGCCATAGTTCCCCCATGCTGGCTGAGGAATTCTGGGAGTTGAAGTCCACGAGTCATAAAAGAGCCAAGGTTGCCTGCCCCTGGACTAGAACATCTCCAAGGTCCTTTCCAATTCTTTCATTTTATTATACTTTGCTCTGCCTACCTCATAGGATTGTCGCTGTGCAGTTTAAAGAACGTGGGATTTGCCACCTTGGTCCCTGGTGGAACGGAGGGTCAGACTTTCCTCCAGAAGTTGTGGGTGCTCCATCACCGGAGAATTTTTAAAGAAGAGAGCGGATAGCAGCCCTTTGTCTGAAATGGTGTAGGCCAGGTCTCCTGCTTGAGCAAAGAGTTGGACTTGTTGTTGTTAATTGCGAAGTCGTGTCCGACCCATGACGACCCAATGGACCACGTTTCTCCAGGCCTTCCCGTCCTCTACCATCTTCTGGAGTCCATTGAAGCTCACGCCTCCTGCTTCAGGGACTCCATCCAGCCACCTCCTTCTCTGTCGTCCCCTTCTTCTCTTGCCCTCCATCTTTCCCAGCATCAGGCTCTTCTCCAGTGAGTCCTTCCTTCTCATTAGGTGGCCAAAGTCCTTGAGTTTCCACTTCGGGATCTGGCCTTCTAAAGAACAGCCGGGGTTGATCTCTTCTAGGACTGACCGGTTGGATCGCCTTGCAGTCCAGGGGACTCGCAGGAGTCTTCTCCAGCACCAGAGTTCAAAGGCCTCCATTCTTTGGCGCTCAGCCTTTCTTATGGTCCAGCTTTCACAGCCGTACATTGCAACTGGGAAAACCATGGCCTTGACTATACGCACTTTTGTTGGCAGGGTGATGTCTCTGCTTTTTAATATGCTCTCTAGATTTGCCATAGCTTTCCTCCCCAGGAGCAAGCATCTTTTCATTTCTTGGCTGCAGTCCCCATCTGAGGTGATCTTGGAGCCCAGGAAAATAAAATCTGTCACTACCTCCATACCTAGAAGACCTCCAAAATCTCTCCCAGCTCTGTCGTTCTGTTATCCGGAAAGAGAGGCGGGGAAGTGTAAAGGGCCATCGGAGCTGGTTTGCAAGGATGGGAAGATAAGAAGAACCGGCGTGAACTTAAAACTATAACTCGCATCACCTATCTGCTTGCTAGCTGGCTGAGCAAGAGACTTGCCTTCCATCCAGCCTCTGTACAGAGGTATGGAGAACCAACCCAAAGATGAAAGCCAAGCCTTAGAAGATAACCACCTCCGGGCCCAGCATCCCCAGCTGCAACCCCCCCTCCTCCTTCAGCCTCTTCCCCTGACAATCAGGAGGGACCCTCCCCCAGTTTAATCCGGCACCCATTTGCTCAGCAGAGAGAGAAGAGAGTGGGCTGTGTTATCCTTGGGTGCTTTAAGTTGGTTCCCATGGCAAACGGAGCCCGGTGTTGCGTTGCCTCTCCACACACACACTCACACACACCCTCAGCCACCTCCCCTCCCTCGCTCTTTATCAATTCCCTGCTTCCCTCTCAGCCAATCCATTTTCTCCGGCTCCCGATGACGCTGGCAGTAGGAGCCGAAGCCCAGCCAAGACGAAAAGGCAAAGAGAGGCGATACACCTGCTCAGGAGGAACCGAGCACGGAGCAGGGAAAGACACGGAGGAGAGAGAGTGAGGGAGCATCCTGCAGGCCTCCCCCCCCTTGTTGACACCCCTCCGTCCCCGATTGTGACGGAGGTACACCCCCGCCATCCGTCCAGGAGCTGAATCGGCCAGCCGGCCCTGTTCTCGGACGGACAAGCCCACCCTGGAAGCCGCATGCTGCAAATGGTCCGGACCCTGGCCCAGTTCACCATTGCCTTGGAAGACATGCGAGAACTTAGCGAGGCGGGCGAGGCCACCCTGCTCCACACCCCTGCCTCGGTCAGCGAGGAGGGTCCGGAGAAGACCACCGCCGGGGCCGGCTGTAGCAATGGAAGCAGCCCCGTCCGGAACGGCACGGTGGAGGTGACGGTGGCTTTGGGAGATGGGTGGGTGGGTGGGTGGGTGAAAGAGACAGGGGTAGAAAACAGATTCCGGGCGTCGTCTGGGTGACCAATTGTGGGATGGCGAAGAGGGTGTCATAACCACAAAGGAGGGGTGGGCTTGCCTGCGTGTGTGGGAGGGGTCCCGAACCCCAGTGGGGTGTCCGATGTGCTCAAGGCAGCTTGCAGAAGTTGTCATGCTAAGGAACCAGAAAGGGGCTTGATCTGGGCTACGGTGGCGGGGAAGACCACCACAGCCCCCTCCCCATGGAGAGTGGGGGGCCTGCAGTGGCCCTGCCAGCCATCTCTGGAGGACGTGGCTTCGGGCTCGGCCAGGAGGGGGCGCTGCTTGAGGGTCGAAGCCACAGGTGACGGAAACGCCTCCCATCTTTTAGATTTCTCTCTAATGGGGACACCTGTCCGTGCTCCGCGTCGGATCCACGGTTGGTCAGTCTTCGCATCTCCCCCAAAGATCCTGCGATGCAATCTCCCTTGTTTCCTTTGCAAGGCCCGTTCGGAAGTGCTCTTGGTTCCTCGTACCCGGCTGAGATCGTTTTTAAAAGAGGCGAAGGCTTGTAGCAAACCAGGTTTCTCCATTTTTTTTCAGCATCTCAGAAACTCTGGGCCAGGGGTGGGCAACTATGGGCCCCTTGGCAACCTGGGGACTTCAACTCCCAGAATTCCTGAGCCAGCCACGGCTGGCTCAGGAATTCTGGGAGTTGAAGTCCCTAGGTTGCCAAGGGGCCCATAGTTGCCCACCCCGGTCTTTGCTGTTATTTTCTTTCTTTCTTTCTTTCTTTCTTTCTTTCTTTCTTTCTTTCTTTCTTTCTTTCTTTCTTTCTTTCTTAACGGTTATAAGTCAAGGGCAACCTGTATTTTTCTCTTTCTTTCTTTCTTTCTTTTTTCTTTTTTCTTTTTCTTTCTTTTTTTCTTTCATCCTTTCTTTCTTTCTTTCTTTTTTTCTTAATGGTTATAAGTCAAGAGCAACCTGTATTTTTCTCTTTCTTTCTTTCTTTCTTTCTTTCTTTCTTTCTTTCTTTCTTTCTTTCTTTTTTCTTTTTTTTCTTTCTTTCTTTCTTTCTTTCTTTCTTTCTTTCTTTCTTTCTTTCTTTCTTTCTGGTTATAAGTCAAGGGCAACCTGTATATAATTTATTTATTTATTTATTTATTTATTTATTTTTTCTTTCTTTTTTCTTTCATCCTTTCTTTCTTTCTTTCTCTCTCTCTCTCTTTCTGTTTCACCCTCTTTCTCATTCCTTCCTTCCTCTCTCCCTTCTTCCCTCTTCTATCCATCCATCCATCCCTCACTTCCTTCTTCCCCTTCCCTCACACCAAAACTCCTTCCTTCCTTCCTTCCTTCCTTCCTTCCTTCCTTCCTTCCTTCCTTCCTTCCTTCCTTCCTTCCTCCCTCCCTCCCTCCCTCCCTCCCTCCCTCCCTCTCTCCTAGAAGGATTTCTGTGATAGCATCACTTCTGGGGCTGACTCAGCCCCTCGTGTTTGGCCAGGGAGTCTAGAAAGGGCAGGAAAGGAATGGATTAATTTCAGGATGCATTATTTCCAGCGTGCATTAACGGCTACCTGGGTCTGTGTGCTTGACTTGTGATAAACAGCATTTTAGGGAGTTCAAATTGGAAGATTTGCGGCTCTCTCTGTCCAGCCTGAACTGGGCCTTCATTTGTCAATTTCGGTGATATAATAAGCAGTGTTTTCCCTTCCTTGCTTGCCAGTTGCAGAAAGACTAAGCCAAAGCCAGATCGGTCTAGTAGTGAAGGGGCCAGGCTAGAAACTGGGGGATGGTGAGTTCTAGTCCCACTTTAAGCATGAAAGCCAGGTGGGTGACTTTGGGCCATTCACCAGGAGACGGGGAGTTCTAGTTACGCCTTAGGCATGAAAGCCGCCTGGGTGACTTTGGGCCGTTCACCAGGAGATGGGGAGTTCTAGTTCTGCCTTAGACATGAAAGTCGGCTGGGTGACTTTGCGCCATTCACCAGGAGACGGGGAGTTCTAGTTCCGCCTTAGGCATGAAAGCCGCCTGGGTGACTTTGGGCCATTCACCAGGAGAGAGGGAGTTCTAGTTCTGCCTTAGGCATGAAAGTCGGCTGGGTGACTTTGGGCCGTTCACCAGGAGACGGGGAGTTCTAGTTCCACCTTAGGCCTGAACACCGGCTGGGATGATTTGGGGCCAGTCCCTCTTTCTCTGCCTACCCCATCCCACAGGGTTGTTATTGTTGTGGGGAAGACGAAGGAGTATCAGGTCTGTTCATCAGCTTGAGTTACTTATAAAAGTAATAAAAAGTGGGATATCAGTAAAAAATAAATAAAGAGAAGCAATGGGTATCATATTCTGCTGATCCACTTCCTTTAAATATTTAAATTTTTACCGTTTGATAATATTTTTGAGGCAGTGGCCCTGCTGTAATTGGTGGTTTTATCAGAAGAGTCTCACCTTAATAAATTAAAATATGTTCTGGCCTGTTGGAGAATCTCTAACGCAGGGGTCTTCAACCCTGGCCTCGTCATGACTCGCGGACGTCAACTCCCAGAATTCCTCAGCCAGCAGGGGGGAACTATGGCCCCCTTCATGACTCGTGGACTTCAACTCCCAGAATTCCTCAGCCAGCAGGGGGGAACTATGGCCCCTTCATGACTCGCGGACGTCAACTCCCAGAATTCCTCAGCCAGCATGGGGGAACTATGGCCCCTTCATGACTTGGGGACTTCAACTCCCAGAATTCCTGAGCCAGCATGGGGGAACTATGGTCCCTTCATGACTTGTGGACTTCAACTCCCAGAATTCCTCAGCCAGCATGGGGGAACTATGGCCCCTTCATAACTCATGGACTTCAACTCCCAGAATTCCTGAGCCAGCATGGGGGAACTATGGCCCCTTCATGACTTGTGGACTTCAACTCCCAGAATTCCTCAGCCAGCATGGGGGAACTATGGCCCCCTCATGACTCATGGACTTCAACTCCCAGAATTCCTGAGCCAGCATGGGGGAACTATGGCCCCTTCATGACTCGTGGACTTCAACTCCCAGAATTCCTGAGCCAGCATGGGGGAACTTTGGCCCCTTCATGACTTGTGGACTTCAATTACCAGAATTCCTCAACCAACATGAGGGAACTATGGCCCCTTCATGACTCGCGGACGTCAACTCCCAGAATTCCTCAGCCAGCATGGGGGAACTATGGCCCCTTCATGACTCGTGGACATCATGAAAAAAGCTGTTTTTCCTATAGCGTTTGTATGTTATCACCTCTCTTTTTTTTAAAAAAAAGAAAAAAAATACTATGTAGGTGTTTCCATCTGTCATAACTGCAGATTCTCGGTGCAGCCTCAAAAAAAAAAAAAAATTCACATTTTAAATAGGAAGTGACACTGTCACAAACTGCATTGCAAATCTCCGTTTGATGCTTGGTTGCAGATTGCAGAAAATAATTTGGTCTTCCATATTTATCTTATAGGGCAGTAAAGTGAAACCCTTGTAATTAAGATTGGTCAGTAGGCGGAATCAGTAGGAGGAGCCGTTGTGAGTGCATGTGCAGTGATGTTTCTGAGGTGGAAATGGCACTTTTGGCTATGAAATGTTTGAGTGATTTGTACAGGTAATAAAAGTGGGGTACAAATCAGAATCAGAATAGAGCTGGAAGGGACCTTGGAGGTCATCTAGTCCAACCCCCTGCCCAGGCAGGAAACCCTGTACCATTTCAGACAAATGGCTGTCCAGTCTCTTCTTAAGAATGTCCAGTGTTGGAGCACCCACAACTTGTGGAGGCAGGTGCTTCCACTGATTAATTGTCCTCCCTGTTAGGAGGTTTCTCATGACTAACTGAATGAATGAATGAATGAATGAACGAGTAGCCCAATCTTGGATTAAAAGGCACTGTAGAATTTAGCATTCTGCACTTGAATGTGGCAGTATAAATAACAACAACAACAATAATAATGTTGGAAGGGATCTTGGAGGTCATCTAGTCCAACCTCCTGCTCAGGCAGGAAACCCTATACCAGTGGTTCTCAACCTTTCTAATGCCGCGACCCCATAATACAGTTCCCCATGTTGTGGTGACCCCCAACCACTTATACATCACCGGGTGCCAGGGGCGTGGCCAAAGAAAAGGGGGGAAAAATGGCGGACAGCCTTGTTTGGCGAGCCCCGTGAAATGGTCGTTCGACCCCAAATGGGGTCCCGACCCACAGGTTGAGAACCACTGCCCTATACCAAGGGTTGGCTCATTTATGACACGTGGACTTCAACTCCCAGAATTCCTGAGCCAGCCTGGCTCAGCTTGGAAACCTCTCCCTCAGCATGGCTGGCTCAGGAATTCTGGGAGTTGAAGTCCACGAGTCATAAAAGAGCCAAGGTGGCCTACCCCTGCCCTATACCGTTTCAGGCAAATGGTAGTCCAGTCTCTTCTTAAAAACTTCCAGTGTTGGAGCATTCACCGCTTCTGGGGAGTTCCAGAAGAGTTCATTGTGGCTTGTTTAAATTTGAACCTTTGAGATTACAGATCATCTTCGTTTAGCAGTTATCTCGTTTAGTGGCCATTTGCAGTTACGACAGTGTTAAAAAAAATAATTTTGAAACGAAGCCTCGCCTATACAATCTTTGGGGGGTCTGTAAAGCAGAGGAAAGCTGAAGTGAGATTATAAATACAGTCATGGTTTCACTTAGCCACTGCTTTGCTTAATGACAAAGTGGCCTGTTGTCTCATTTAGTGGCCATTTGCAGTTACGACAGTGTTAAAAATAATTTTGAAACAAAGCCTCGCCTATACAATCTTTGGGGGGGGTGTAAAGCAGAGGAAAGCTGAAGTGAGATTGTAAATACAGTCATGGTTTCACTTAGCCACCGCTTTGCTTAATGACAAAGTGGCCAGTTCTAGTTGTGGACGCTAAGGAGGATTTACCTGTCAGTTTAGGAACCACCTGCCTCCAGAAGCTGTGAATGCGCCAACACTGGAAGTTTTTAAGAAGAGA